GTTGTCATTTTCTGGTTAGGCAAAATCACAGCGTAATGTAAATCAGCTGGTTCACATCGTGGAAAGCGTATTAAAACAGATACAGGGTTCGTAGCGGCCGGGAAAACCGGGAATACCGGGAAAAGTCAGGGAATTCGTTATTCTTCATAAAAAACAGGGAATAGTCAGGGAATTTTAAAAATATTCATGAAAGTCAGGGAATTTGATGTTTGCAACTGGAAATTTTGTGAAAGCCGACCCTGGGTTCTTGAAAGAGAAAACTATTTGTGGTTTTGAAACCTTTATAAGAGGTTGTTAGGGTATAAAAAAGATTTTGGAGTCCAGTCGAAAAAAAATTTAATGCATAAACACCAATTAGTATGTAAAAATGAACTACAAGTGACCTGGATTTCTTTTTTATAAGTCAGGGAAAACCTGGAAAAGTCAGGGAATTCTTTATTACTTTTGAACTATGAACCCTGTAATGTCACTAACACCGTTCGTCGAACGAGGGCGGTGGGCTACCCAGCCAAACCTTCGCTGACAACGCTGTGGTCATACTGTCTTGCCAGAGTTCAAATTCGGCCAGATTTATACCATAACAGGACAGGTGAACATAGGAAAATACAATTTGTTTACTTATTCCGGATTATTACTCCCGACGGTTAACTCCTTGGGTCGGATGGCGGTGGTAGGTCTTCAGTGGGCTCCTCGGAGTGGTTCTGGAGCTCTTCGAGTTCTGGCAACGAACTATTTTCGGCCAGGAAAACTGGTTTTATTGTCTCGATACCCCCTTGATTAGCGGGAGTCGTGGTGGGATTGTGCGCAAGGCACTCGTCAGTGAGGCAACCGGACGGTTTCACTCGACTCGTGGATAATTGCTCTTAACCAATTAAGCTAATTAATAAAATAATTGGCAAAAGCCTTGCATAAAACTAGTTCATTAGAAGCCTGATTATCAAATTGACCACTAACACCCGCACCTGACTCCATTTTTAACAAAACTCTTTGAAATAACTAAAGTATGGAAGTGATAACATTTTTTTCCACTTTTACGCTTATGACATGCACTGACATGCCTCATCTAGAAACAAAAACAGGGTGGGACTTAAAGAACTCAAACCGTGCAGTCTCAGTCGTCTTTTGTATGTGTTAAGCAAAGGTAGAAATAGCCGCTTGTAATAATAGAACGTTCCAATAGTGAACAATTGTGGTTTGAATTATAGATGATCTTTCTGCTTACTATTTTGATACCGGAGTATGGTGTCGTTATTTCTTAAATGATATTAAAAAAAAAACTGTGTTTAGAATGATTGAGTTGGAGAGAGAAATCAAATAATTATTCACAATTTACTGTGTTAATTCTTCTTCACAAGTAGCGTTTTTATTGAAAAATATTTAAATTGAAGAGAACATTTGCTGCTATAAGATATTGTAATATTAATGTCATTGTAAACAACACATCTAAATTGTGGAATGTATCTTGTCTGAGTTCTCCCTCTTTTGCGTGATTGGTGAGTGGTTTTGCAACTATATATAACGTATCAGGTGGTATGCTGCTGTTCCCGGAAGATGAAAGTGGTGAATCTAGCCAACAGGAGGAGGAAGAAAGTGAAGCTGGTGAAACTGACGAACAGGACACCGAAGATTACACTCTCACAGATGAACAGTTGGAACGTAGAAGGTATTTTGATTAATACAATTTTACAAATTCAAAATTTTTATTGATATAAAATAATAAATATTTGTTTGATGAATACGGAATATTTTGGAGATGTTTCTATGAAACAAGGTATTTATATTTGTTTAAAAAGGTTTCTAGCTGAATTAAGATTTTTGTTAAACACAAACATTTCCAAGATATTCTACATAGTATAAAAAGTATTGGGAGCCAAGAATATTTCCATAATTAACTTTTAATTCAGTAGCAGGAAAAATATATTTACTAATATTGATATATTGAAGGTTTGCATCAATTTTTCATATAAAACCTTTACTATATTTAATTGATAAATAAAATTCAGGTTTTATTTCAAGTATTTGCAAATGATATTTTAATATTAATATTATCTATATTGAACTAGAAAAGTTTTATTCATTAATACCAAAATTTTGAATTATTTATACAGGGTGATTCAGAAACGGTAACCAAAAATAAAAACTCGTATTTTTTTGGTGAATTTTAAGGGGTCTTTCCTATAAAGTTTTTATCTAGAACGCTTCGTTAAAAAGATACAGGATGTTAAACTTAAAAAAATATTTTAAATTTTTTAATAATTTAAAAACTAGTAAGTAATATAATTTGAAATTGGGTACATGTATTTATGTAAACATTGTCCAAAATCTGAGGGCTTTTCCTAAAACTTGCATGCTCCAGCGGACATACAGGGTATCGGTGGTATATTTTTCTAAATAAAATATTACGCCACTGCTTTGAGATAACAACCATGATATTTTAGGATTCGTCTTTCAATTTTCTACAAATTACTATTCTCATGTTTTTCGAAAAAAGCCCGATTTTCGAGTAAAACTTAAAAACAAATTCCTTAAAATTCACCAAAGAATACGAGGTTTTGTTTTTGGTCACCGTTTGTGAATCGTGTATATTAGATATGGACAAATGGATGTATTAAATATTAGATATGAATAAAACGTTGCAAACTATGTAACAAAAGTAAAATATTTTTGAAACTCTTATCCTTCCAACATAAAATGTTATTGTACAAAAAAATAAATCATTCTGATGTTATCAAGGATTTTAATATGTAAGTTTTATGCTCTTTTTTTACAAAATTTACAGTGTATTTATCTACTTGAAAGTTCTTTTCTTTTATTGAGCCAGCTTTAATAAAACTTACTGCTCATCAAGTTTTATTTGTTATTTTGTTTATTCATATTTGGCTCCCCTTGTGCTGTTTTTTGTGTTTCTCATTGTTTTGATTATTGTCTATGAAAGAAGCCATTACAGCAATGTGACCGGCCATGGTCAACGAAGCAATTTGGCGCCACAAAACATGCAGTGGGCCATTCGTTCTAGAGAAGCGGGCAGATCGCAAGGTGTCCGACTGCCGAACGGTTCCAATTTGGTATTTATAGATCCCAGTTCACTGAGACGCTCGACTACGGGCAGTACTACAGTAGCTGCCAGTTCGGAACCTATTACTATGGCCACAACGGCCAGCTGTCTAGCTAGAGCTTTCGGTGAGTAGATGGGTTAGTTTAATTGCGACGATTTCATTCTTGCCTTTGTCCTTAATTCCTTATTTCTTCTTTGTCTGCAAATATTTTTTTAATCGTAAGAAATACAGATTTTTTTACTCAATCGAAGTTGTAAAAAAAAACTTAAATTTTACATTGTTACAGGTATTGTGGTGCGGCAAATCGCCGATCTATTATCTTTAATGCCACATGTGAACCAGATCCTAACCTCATCATCAACTGTAATGGAAATAACCCAAGATGATATTTATAATGTTCAGGTTGGTATTTTTTAATCCAGCAATTTTTTTCAACGTGGAAACGTTTATAAAATTGTTTGTGCAGACTGGTGTTTTCTCAGAAATTATTAACGGCTTATTTTGAAGTCGATGTTTTCTTCCAAGATAAATTTCCTGTGTAAAACAGCAGCAGGCCTTTATTTTGACAGTAGGCACTGGCTTGGGTCTTTCTAAGACGATATTATAGCATGGAGAACAGTGTGTGAGAGCCGCAGGCAAATGCTTTCGAAATGGAAGAAATATGTCCCAAAATTCATTAAATTTCATGCTTGAATTCAGAAAAGTGGTTCTAATCGTTACAGAACACTAGACCCATCGGTTAATCGAAAAATAAAACCGTTAATAAAAATAATTTTATTAATTTGACAGTTTTATGAAACTCATGATGACGGTAAAATGTCCTCCTTTACTGTTTCAGTTAACGTGATGAAATAAATTTGAAGAAAATTTAATATGAACCTTAAAGATCACTCTTTTATGAAAAACTTAAACTCTTGTAAATTAGGGATTTGCGACATTAATTAATTGAGAGACTTTTCCATATAATTGTGGGACATAATCCACTACTAATTTTTTTTTTTTTTTGTTAAAAAATTCTACCATGCGGCATTTTTTTAGATCTATTTGGAGTTCCGATTGAAGCCAACGTGGGACTGGCTGTTAACGGTAATGGATGCAACCGAGGCTCAACTCAAATTCGGAGCTTCTTTAACTAATTCATTGGATTTGACGAGTCCCGGATATCCCCTCAATCATACGGGAACAACATCGGGAGGTAAGTAAATTCTCTCTTTTACGGGCGGTCAAGTCTAAATTTTGGAAATGGAAATGTAAAAATTGCAATAAAAAAAATTATGCCTGAATTTTAGTGGGAACTGGTTCTACCACCGTCAGATCAAGTCACCGTGCTCATGCCGTATCAGCGGGTTCAGGCAGCTCCTCAGGAAATAGAATTGTAGGATTCACCACAAATGTTGAAAGTAGTAGATCTCGTTCTGAAAGAGAAAGTAAGTAATTGACTTGTGATCTTTTTAGAAAGGGTATTCAATTTCATTTAGTTCTAACAAAGCTTACTGGTACTTAAAGTTTTTGTCATATTTATAATTTTTAGGTGGCGATTGGCATGCAGCGAGGCGCGAGTTTTTGTCGTATTGTTTATCTCTAATGAGAGCTCATAACAGCGAACATCTAGACTCTCTTCCCATCCTAGACGTATCTGCTTTACGACACGTCGCATATGTTTTTGATGCGCTTATTTATTTCATGCGATCGGGAACCTCTGAGGTAGCAGACAACGATGTGAGACGAGAAGGATTGCCTTTACCGCCGTGGAACGATCAAGTAAAATGCTTCATTTTGTATTAAATAGGTCGCTTCATGCAATATGCTATTTTTTTTTAAGGATGAAAATGACAATGAAGAAGCCGAAGAGGACATTGCTGTAGCCATGGAGACGGAATCCTTAGACGATCAAGATGTGTCCAATTTGGCTAACAATATATCAAATAGTTTGAATACCTCTCTTCAAGGGAACACTGGAAAAGGAAGGAAACACTCTTTCTTTCAGGTTTGTAAAGCGAAAATTGGGTCAAATAGTCAGAAATAGTCGGAAGTGAACACGAAAGTAATTTCAACTATTTCAGAGATCGGAATCGACACTTTGTCTCGGATGCCCACCACCAGATCCGTTCGACACTCCAATGTCGGAGGCGCTTCCGCTTGCTGATCAGCCTCATTTACTGCAGCCAAACGCTCGTAGAGAGGACTTATTTGGAATTCCTAAGCAACCTGTTACATTAACTTCAACAGGTATTTTATAATTTGTTTCTACTATATAATTTTATTAAAGTCAATTTAAATTTTTTTATTTTAACCAGCACTGAAACAATCCAATTAATTGGAAAATGTGTCAGTTTTATCATTTATTTTGTGTTTCATTTCATATTTTTAGCATGTTTTTTATTTTAATTTATTCTTTTATTGCATGTAAATTAACTTTATTAAAATAAAAATTCCTTGTGAAGGTGAATCACAATTGGGAGTCAGAACGACAGATGGAGCCATTTGCGCTCCGCGTACAATGTACCTTTTTGTCGTGAGGATATGATAGTATAACGGCTGGATCATTCGTCAGTTGTCTCACCTATGACACACTGATGAGGACTAATAAGTCCGATCCTAGCTGTTGCACTAGATGTTGCGAGTATAATTCAATGCCGGTCGGGGCATATAGCACGCGGAGCAGTTGTTTCTTGCAACGCTGGCAATTTTAAAAATGTAATAATACTTAGTAATTCACGATAGAAATAAGTAATGCAAAAAGAGAAAATATTTATCGATATATTTTTTGAATTCATTCATTTAATGAAGTGTAGTGAATAGTGATTTTTTTACATTTATTGTTATTTTGGGTTCCCTTTTAAGTCTTCTTTAAAAGGAATTAAAAAAAAGAAATATGAACAATTCACTGAACAAATTACCAATGAGTGTCGTGTTTTAAATCTAAATCTAATTCACTTTGACAAATTCTACTTTCAAAAGTAGTGACTGGGTTTAAGACCAAAAATGTGTTTGATTGTGAAGAGGGAAAATGCCATAATAGTTTTTGTAAAGATTTTTCCAAAAATGCCTGGTTATTTAGCTTTTTTTCTACCAATTTCGTATAAAATCTTCCAGTTTGATTCATTTTTATATGTACCAATTTGGAAACATACTTAAACATTTATTACTCTTTGGATATTTCAGGTTCCAATTCGGGTAACCCTCTAGAATCTCTACCAACCAAACTGAGTCTTTCCACAAGGACCACAGATTTTGCCATGACCCAACCCGCCAGGGCGAACCACCCCATTTCGAATTCGTTCAATGTGATGGGCCCGAATCCTCTGGTTTATCCTCAGAACTACCAACCCGATGAAGAGGGTAGACCAGCCTCCAAGGAGGCGACGCAACAGACTGATGTCGCAAGTTCGTTCGAATCTATGACAAGTATCGCGGGTGGCAGTAATACTCCCAGGAATGATGGTAAGAAGATGAGGAATATACAGCCATTTGAGAGTTTATTGGCTGCTGTTAATAATAAGACTGGTAAGTGATGGGTGAAAACTATATCTCAATTTTTTTTTTATACGTTTAAGAGTTACTTAGTGGTTTTCATTTTTGGCCATTTTGTGCAATGGAAACTTTTTTATTCAAGAAAATTATTTTTGGAAATAGCCATTTTATTCAGTATTCTGTGAATATTACAGTGATATAATTATATTTTTCAATTTTTCTACAACTTCTGGTTTTTGAATTCATTCAAACTTAGTTTTTTATTTGAAATTTACAAAGAAAAAAATTAAGTAATTTGTCATACATGCTATTTAATAAAATTAGGTTTGGTTTTAACTAAAAACCAAAAATTATAGATAAATATCACAGATGCAAATAGGTTTGATTAAAAAACTGAATAAATAAATTTTTATAAAAATCAAAAAGTTGTCAGAAAACAAACAAAATAAAAATTGCCTTGTAATGTCTTAAAGAAACTAAAATATGGAGACGTGGTTTTCACTATTTAATTTTTCTTCAAAATCGAGCCCTGTGCATTTGAACTACTTTTTATCTATTTCCTGTGAGAAACCACCCATTGTCAAAATTGGCCAGCCCTATACAAAGTAATTCACATTTGAACACTTTAAGGGGTAGTTCTTCCATTTTCCAAAGACCAACAAAAAATTTGTTTCAAATAATTAGTAATTTATTTTTTTTAAACATACTGTTCTACATATTTTTCTTCAATACTTTTTGTCTGACCCTTTGGAGAATATGAAAAATACTCTAAAAGTGTCCACTCTCTACATTTTTGACTTAAATTTGTCGTCGCATCTTCATTAACGAAACGATAGTTCATAATAATTGTGAATCGACAATTTTTTTATCACGCCAATAGGGATAATAAAAAATAAGTCGATTCTTCATTTATAAAAATAATGTTTATAGGAGACGTTCTAAATGAGAGACCACAAGACTTATCTAGGAACCGCGAGGAGCAATTACTAGATCCGTATAACACGCAAGGACTAGGAGATAATCCTACACTATCTCGTCCACAAATCATTGTGTCGCCAAGAAAATTGGAATCCACTACAGAGCATAATCAGGAGCAGGTACATGTCCAACACATCTTTTCTGAATATTGTTAGTTATTTAAAATTGTCCTTAGGTTTCGTCAGGTGGTTCCTTATTGTCGCTTCTAACACCCAACGATTCCTCTCAAGACGTTTGCAGCCAGAGTACAACTTGTACTATGTCGGGATCTTCTACACCGTCAACAAGTTCTTCAAGAAGCCCCAGCAAGAGCGTTATAGTCAGAGCTGGATCGTCAAATGTAAGTACGATAAAATATTTGAATGGGAAGTGGAATACGTATGTAAAAGTTGAGTTTAATTTACATGTCACAACACTTCCCAGACGAACGTTGCTTTCTGATGACCGCAGTTAAATACAGCTTTCAACTGGGGACAGATACGGAGCAAACAACTAAATTCGAATTTTTTTTTTGTCGGTTGTTTCACGATTGATGAATATAGGCTACACAGAATTATAAAATTTCCTTCTATTTATGTTTTTTCTTGACAGTTTTTAATATTTTAGTGCCAAAAAATTGGAGACCCAGATGTAATTATGTCGGTAGATATCCAACAGCCGGAAACATTGGAAAACCAAGAAATTTCAGCAAATGTGACGGTTGTAACCACAACAGTAAATAATGAATTGCCTAAACCCACCGTGGGGCAATCGGTTTCTCATGATTTACTTTTGGGCAGATGGAGATTATCTTTAGATTTGTTCGGTAGAGTTTTCATGGAAGATGTTGGGTTGGAACCGGGATCTATCGTTTCCGAATTGGGAGGTTTTCCTGTGAAAGAGGCTAAGTTCAGGAGAGATATGGAGAAGCTGAGGAATAACCAGCAGAGGGATCTAACACTCTCAAAAGTGAGTCCCCTTATAGTAATATAAAAAAAAAAAAATTGAAATCTTTTTGTTGATTCTAAGGACTATATTTATAGTTGATAGTGGAAATTTATATCTGTATTTTTTAAATTAAAAATCGACCTGTTCGAGGATTTTTCCCAAAAAAAATTTGTTTCGTTTTTACTGAATTTATTCCATACTTTAGGCGCGCATGGTATATATATAAAATTTATTCGCTTATTTTACTAATTGATTTTGTATGTCACTGCATTTAGCCAAAATTATCACACAACAAACAAAATAAATTAAGGCTTTAGGAACATTCTTTATGTTGTATTTTTTGGAATTGTAGATCGAAAGAGACAGGACGCAGCTGATCCTACAAACTTTTAAAGAGTTAAACAGCCAGTACAACAGCTACAACCGACGTACCACTTCCTCCTCGCCTCCCCTTGCCGTAAACAAAGTGAAAGTAACCTTCAAAGATGAACCAGGCGAAGGTACTGGTGTGGCACGAAGTTTCTACACGGCCATAGCAGAGGCCATCTTGTCCAACGATAAACTGCCAAACTTAGAGTCTGCACAAGTAGATAATAAATATTCCCAGTACAGCGTACTGCAACGCCTCCGCCGCGACAGGGACGTCCTAAGACGTACCGTGCCACCGAGGGGCTACAACAAGTCCAGGGATCACCACAGGAGGACCATGAGCATCGAGGCGAGACCGTTCATTCCGTCGGACAATCTGCACACCTCCGACGCCCCGTCCATGCCGGACATCTCCTCCGCATCGAACAACCAGCCTGGTACTAGCTCTAATAACACCCAACCCTCTAATGGCGGTAACCGTAACGAACACCTCACCAGTCAACAACAGCAACTGGGCGACCGACTCTATCCACGAGTGTATAACACGCACCCGACTTTCGCCGGTCGAATCACGGGTATGCTGCTGGAGTTGTCGCCCGCCCAGTTGCTCCTTCTGCTCGCCTCTGAAGATTCCTTGAGAGCCAAAGTAGAGGAAGCAGTAGAGATGATACTGGCTCATTCACATTCCCAATCCGAGTTAACTTCAGAGGCTTTGTTAGGTAGGTGGATCGACCAAATTAGTTTTTGCTTGGAGCCAGTGGCGCATTAGTGGTTTAACTTGATGTTGCTGATTATACAGGCCAGTTGGGTAACCACAGACTCCTCGGGTCAAAATAAGACGACTTACCTAATTTTTGAAGTCGTTTTTTCTCGATAACTGATAATTTTCGATATATTAACTTCCAATTTGGCAAAGGTGTTATTTATTCCAATACAATTGTTAACGAGGTTATGGAGACTTGAGGACTTCAAAAAACAAATGAAAAATGGGGTTGCTGTGTCTCCTTATCCTTACCAACTTTTTTCTAGGTGTGCCTATTAATTTTTTTTTTTAATTTCAAACAATTTCTTTTGCCATTATTTCTTTAGAAATTTTTCAGTTATTGCATAGTAGGCTTTACATAAGGCTTACGCGCTGCTTTATTTTTACAGATTATGAAAAAAAAAACATTTTAAACAATATTACTAGTAGTCTCAAAAGCAAAAGTTATTAAACTAATTTTTAACAAATTATTACAAATAAAATTATGTAGATACTCATACATTTTTTATTAACACATATTAACAATAAAAGCGCACTTTCATTGATGTGATGCACATGCTCTTTTTTTATTAAAAAAAAATCACCATTTTGAAATACTTTCTGCTGAAGTTTGTGGACTGTCGTGAGGATTTTATTTCTAATTTATTAAATATTATTAATTTCTTCAACATAAGCAATATATGTATTATCCCAGAAAAAGAAATCCATTGGACTAAAATCTAGAGATCACGGTGACAATTGAACAGGAGCATTTTGTCCTTATCCAATACAACGTTTGGGATCAATTTCTTGTTCAAATAGTGACGCACCTTTTTATCATAACAAGGTGGGATATTGTTTATTTAGTTCAGCGGTCTTCAAACTTTTATAACTTGTGAAACCCGGCCAACATTTAAATTTTTTTTGAAAAAAATATTTTTAAGGCATTTTTTACTGATTATATAATATGTATATTGCTAAATACTACGATTAACAAAATAAATATTACCCTAAGAAAAATTAAATTAACGACTAAAGTTAAAAGTAAATATTTATTGGATAATAATTGCTCTTGCAAAAGTAGGTAAAGAAAATTCTTTCTTGCTAAGCTCTTACAGTAACTTATATGTGTGTACTTATAAAAAAAAAAGTTTTAAGAGTAAATTTTTTGAATTTTGAAATATCGCTATTGTTAGTTTCAAAATTTTAAATATTTGACTGTCGCGGAACCCCCAGAGAAGTTGTACAGAAAACAGTTTGAATACCACTGGTTTAGTTCAAACCAACTCGATTATCCGTACTTCTCCATTTCTGACGGCATTGTTGTAGTAAAGTTGGCAGATTGATCGATCAGAAAAGTACTCGCAATGATGATCAGTCGATTACAAAATCATCCATACATATTTTATAATCCACTGAGTAATTTTCAAAAAAATGCAGTTAGAAGCGCATGGTCGATTGATCAGTTGATGATGATTGCCCGATCACAAAAGTTTGTGTAGGAATCGATTTTATGGAAAATCGAAAATTTTAAATCTGTTCATATATTTACATATTTTTCTCTTTTTTTTCAAGTCACAAATTACAAGTTAGATTCTTCTTAAATTCAGTGCTCATCATAAAGTGATCGGTAGCCCTTTATATGCTCTTTTAAAAAATAGTATTTGTATGGAAAACCATGCACTAAATGAAACATTTTTTCAGAGAGATACTAAGAAAAAGTAATTCTGAAATGTCTATATTAACTCCCTGTATCTTTTAAAGCAAGCATTTTTGTAGACAGATAAGGTTACATAAATCATCTTATTTTCATGCTAGGAGTCTGTGTTTACCAGATTGGTCTTCTTTTCTGGAACACTGTAGTAGTATCAATTAAGTATCTATCCTAAATGCCGAAAAACCAGTCTGTCAGTGTAGAAATATTTTTATTGAAATATAATTACAAATTGCACAGCTTGAAGTAATGTCCAGTGTTAAGTATACAGGGTTATTTTTTACCTGTATGCATAGCCTTGAGCAATGATTCTACAATATGAAAAAAGTTTATATAATACTAGACTTGACCGATTTGAAATATTTTTTTTACACTGTAAAAGTTTGATAACATTTTTATGAAATCATTAACATTTAAAAAAAATAAAAAGTTATGGAAAAGTGTGTTACGGACATGTCGATCAAATGTCCGGACATGTTGGGAAAAGTACTGTTGACCTTATTTATCGCCTAAACTTGTCAACGGTGACAGTTTATAATAATTTATTTGTTTACATAATTGTGCTTATTTTATTACTTACTGATGCTATTGATGGACCCTGTAGATTGCATGCGTTTTCCACATGATAAATAATTCATTTCTGTAGAAACAAATATTTCACATAGATATAATTTATAAAGATACATGTGCGTGGTAAAAATTGTACTTGACGTTTGGTGTTAAAATTATTGAATATGCTTTCAAATTAATTCATGATAAAATGATTCAACCCTGCAAAAAATAGTATAAACTAGAAGGTTTATAAGAAATAATTTGCTTCAGCTTATTGTTTCAACCTTTTCCTTGATTCAATTATAAGGCATTTACTAACATTGTAGTCTTAATCTAACATCAACTTTTGTAGGTAGATATGGAATAATATTTATCTATTACCAGTATTGCTTACTTCGTTTGTGAGGATTTGTAACAAACCCTGGTTAAAATTTAAACGCCAGTTAGGCATGCACTTATCATTGTTTAACAAAATAATAATAGCTGGTTCTTTTACTAGTGGTTTTCCTTTTATATTATTTTTTCCTTTTCTAATTTTTTTTGCAGATTTCCATGTAATTGCATATTTTTGTTAATATACATGTCTGGAAAATCCACATGGTCCATCTGCCTATACAATAGAGTGACAAAGTAAAGTAAAGAAATCCGTGCGATAGGTAAGGATGGCTATAATGAAGACGTTTCATAAGCTAAATAGTCTCCGCCTGTTTTGGGTTAGAAGTGGGAATGACTATTCAGATTATGAAGCGTCTTCAATATAGCCATCCTTGTCTTTCGCACAGATTTTTTTACTTTACTATATTGCTCTCATGTAAAAGCAGATGGACCATGTGGATTTTCCAGGCGTGTATATGTATGATGTTTATTGTCAATTGCCAACAAAATAGTTGGCTGCCAACTGTCTGACACGTACCCCTTCTCTCAAAGGCATCAATGTTTTACCCAGTCAATTTGGGAACTCGTTTAGGAAAATAGTGATATTATTAATTGAAAGTAACTAAAACGTTTAGAGTAATTAATAGAAGAATTGCACAGCTTTAGATTTGAATATTTTGTGTCGTACTTATACATTGCAATTTTGACCTTCCGATCACTTTGAAATTATTTGGAATACCACTTTTTATTAATTTCAAAACTTTAACTTAAGTGTAGATATGTAATATCTCTTATACCGAGAGAAGCGAATTTACCAGTTATTTAATCCAACTTAACCCAGTCTTAATACTTTATTCTTCCCTAACAAAATTTTTCGTAGGTAACACAAATTATAAATATAAATATATTTTTTTCAAAAAGAATTGGGTATTAAATGAAGAGCTGGTTATAAATGGTCCAAGATGGAGAAAGTAATAATAGTAATGTTATCTATGAAAATGGAAAAGCTTTTGGAACAAAAATATAAATGATTTTAGTGACGACTTTAAGATTTCAAAGTAGGCAAAACTATTTTTTTGAAGTAATTCCTGCCTGTTTGTTGCGGCAGAGGGATGTATTACAAATTTTTTTCTAAGTGTGGCAACATACCAAAAAAAAAAAGAAACAAAATGCTTTTGTCTCTTCATTTTTTATTTACTGACTCAAGTTCCACCACTTGCGACTTATTGGCTGTAAAAATTTGGGCCTAATGCAGTTCTTTTGCTCCTGGATTTCCTAAGTTGACCTGATCTATCTTTTGATTGGTTTTTAGAATTAGATGTATTTTCGTTGACTGATCGAGGCTGTTCGAGAAAGAGTGGCGGGAGGACAAACGCTGATAATTCTGTTACAGAGGAGACAATGCAAGACGAAGAGGACATTGCACCACTCTTCTACTGCCCAGGCAAAAGGGGATTCTACGCACCGAGGCAGGGGAAGGCCACTTTCGAAAGGCTCAACGCTTTTAGGAATGTAGGACGGTATGTTGCCTAGTAAAAAAAGAATATGGAAAATAAGCTAAGTGGTAATTTTGTTCTGTAGGTTGCTCGGATTATGCCTTTTACAAAACGAATTGTGTCCAATATTCTTGACCAGACACGTATTGAAGTCGATTCTAGGTCGTCCAATCAAATTCCATGACCTGGCATTCTTTGACCCCGTCGTTTATGAATCTCTTAGGCAGTTAGTTGTTGACGCTGAAACGAAGTACAGTAATAGCTTGTTCTCTGCCCTCGACCTTAACTTTACGTAAGTAAATTTTGTCTTGCAATATAGAAGTTATTCTAAAGTCAATCGGTGTTTAATTTAAAGTTACATTCGTTGTATTTTCTTGACAGAATTGATCTTAGTGCTGAAGAAGGCAGCGGAACAGTAGAACTTATGCCTGGAGGAAAGGATATTGAAGTGACGTCTAGCAATGTATATGACTACGTTAGGAAATATGCTAAGTATAGAATGATTAAGGTTCAAGAAAAAGCTATCGAGGTAAATGAACTTACATATATTAAAATATAAATATGATTGCATTGCACTAAGATATCTTCTAATAAAATATTAATCGACACTGTTTTTTTTTCAGAGTATTAGAACGGGGGTGTTTGACGTACTTCCTGAGGGATCATTGGACGGATTGACTGCTGAAGACCTAAGGCTTTTGCTGAATGGAGTTGGAGATATAAATGTAGCTGTTTTGATCTCATATACTTCTTTTAACGACGAATCTGGTGAGAGTAGTGAGAGGCTCGTCAAATTTAAGAGGTGGCTGTGGTCGATCGTGGAAAAGATGACCCATCTTGAGAGACAGGATTTGGTGAGTTGAGTACATTTTTTCGGTGATAATATAAATTCCTAGATGAAATTGTTGCACCACTAAAAATGGATCCCAACTTCAAAGTTGATGTTCTCACAAAGGACTAACCTGATTTTGAGAAATCAAAATTTTTATTGAAATCTCAGTTTGAGCATCTAGCGAGCACAAGAGGGACTATTTTTTTTTTTTCGCAATTGAAATATGTACTAGTGCGAGCTTGGTAAAAATAACAAATGTCTACTTGCATCAAACTGTAGTTCCGTCCAACCATTTTAAAATTGATAGTAATAAAAAAAATCGGCGAACTGAAGTGAAAATATTGCAAAGGAAAAACAAAATTCATAACAAAAATGTAGGAAATTAATCAATTCTTCCAGTAATGGTTTTACATCAACGCCTCATACTCAAAACCAAATGTTAATCTTTCAATTCTTTATCAATGTCATTCTACAGAGTGTTCATAAATGATTACAAGCCACGTGACCAGTAATTTTGTTTGGAACAATAATTTTATTTCCCTCACATTAGGGTCTATTCTGTAAGCGCCTGGGTTAAATATGACGTATGGTTAAAATTCTGGATTTTAACGTTTTCCTCTATTCTGTAAAATTCTTTTTAACACGTTGACTGCGAGATAATCTCAATGTTCTTTGTCCGTGACTGCGATACATATCTTCGTGGATATGTAACAAAACTTCTTCTGTGTGCGGTACATATCCCTGGGGATATGTAATTTTTTTTACATTTGACCCTATAAAATTAAAAATAACACAATTATTGCTATAAACTTGCATGTATCTGTAACTATATATCCTAGGATACTAACGTTTTCATTCGCAAAGAGTTTTGAAAAGAAAATAATAGAAAAATCATTATTTCTAAAAAGTACAGATTCTGCAACTTCCACAAGATACAGTAAAAATGTGATTATTGAGATTCGCATATTTTTTATAATGAGTACATACCCCCCGAGGTATGTACCGCAGTCAACGTGTTAACGAACTAGTTAACGGCTAAAATTTTAGCGTGTCCGTTAAAGCGATCGTAGTTCGGAAATTGTAGTTCAAATGTGCTCAATTTCATGAAGAAGAAGAAGAAGACAAAGTATTGATATTTAACCTAACTTTTTATTGTTCATGTCTCTCTGAACTTCTGAAATCTGAACCCGCTCATTATTTCTTCTCTTTTGTTAATGTTGACAGAACTTTATCAAGTCAGGTAATAAAAACGTTATTACAGCATCTGAGATTTCAGCTACGCATCTGCTTACTGCGGGTTGGCTCACTGAAAAGTTGTATCCGTGATCAACTGAGAGCTGATAACTTCATTGTCCAAGAAAATTCAAATCTATTAAAATTCGAACGTGTGGAGGAATTCTGGTCTGGTTGCCCTTATGTGTTGATTTAAGTGTACGTGTACAGTTAACCTATTGATTAGTTGCTAACAAGAATATTTATTAAGACGAAACAGCTTTATAAATGTTACGTCTAGCAACTCGGAAAGGATCACTGTTATCACGAACTTGCCTCTGATATACTTTGTTTTCTCTTCCGGAAGGAAATAGAAAATCGGATTATCTAACCTCATTTTTATAATTATATGAATTTTTTGAAGTAAACTTACATTTGTCTATTATTCTCGATTCTCGTCAATTTCAACGAGTACCAGGTGAATAAATCTATCGAATGCCATATTTTATCTTCAGATTTCAATTTATACAAAAAAAACGCCAACTAGTTTAACAGCACCAATTTAGGAATCTTTAGAATTATCTTATAATAATGGGTGTCAAAGTTTTAATCCCCTTTAAAATTTAACTTTCCTCTTACAGAATAGACCCTATTCGCAATTAAATTTTGGTAAAATTAAAAATTTTTAATACGATAAGATCAGGATTACATTAAAACTCAACATTCTGTTTTACCAGCTATGATTGGTGTAATTTTTCTTGAGATTCTATTCAACCAATCAGCGATCGCTTTGTCTCGAGGGTAGACGTAGTAGTTCTCATTGTTCATTATATAGGTCAGGAAAATAAGCTGGGAAATGACCATTTTGCAACTTTTTGTTTCGGCAAGCTGAATTTATCACTATAGATGCTAAATATTATGTACAATAACCTATTAGTTTCCACAGTCATAAAAATGGGAGGAACATTGTTTACAGGGTGGCTAATTGTATAATTTTTACGTAAATTCATGTTTTTTGCTTATAACTTTTTTCCATTCATTTCCACGAGAAAACTAAAGTACTTTTTTTCGTCTTCAAAAGACCTACAAAACTAGCTCTCGAGCGTCAATAAATATTGATTAGATAGTTGTATACAGAAGAAGTTTATTTATGACTTTTGAATTAAACGTTTATAAACTGCGTTATTATTACCAGAACGTTTTGGCATCACAACCTCTCATTCCTTATCACTGTCAAATAACTCGCACGAAATCTGGAATCGGTAAGTTGAATAGTTTACAAGTTATGGCCTTATAAACAAATTAACTAATTATTAGTCTGGACGATCCCGAGGATCTTCCATAATCACATTGATTTTTTTCATGGTAGATTTCATAATAATACATTGAAATCTATAATTTTTTTTTTAATTTCAAATTTGCAACCTGGAAATTTTTTTATTATATATTCGGGAAGCTTATGAAGAGAGCTTGAAGTTAAAAAAAAATCGTCAAGATTTGTTGTAAAACATTTTGCAATTTAGGGATTTTTAGTCCTGAATGTTTAGTTGCCTAAGCTCGGCAGTCACGTGGCTTGTAAACATTTATGAATGCTCTGTTCTCTGGACATTTTTTTAATATCATCATTTGAAGCAGTTAGGAGTGATTGTTTCTCAGTTGTCTAGCCATATTGTCACTTTTTTAATTAACACTTAGTGGTTGTAATTACTTACAAAAATTACCTTACTGACTTCAGTAACACAATTACCAGTGCATTTGAAAATAGTCGACAAATATTTAAAGTAACCAATTTCCTCTCCTATTTATTCGTTAAAAAAAAATTATCAGATGTTTTCTGAGGAACACATACTGTTGCCCTTAAAAAATCAATCCCCACTTAAAGTTACACGCTGTATAAATATTTTTTTCATGATTTATGTGTCTGTTGTTGTTTCAGGTTTATTTCTGGACAGGGTCACCCGCATTGCCAGCTAGCGAAGACGGATTCCAGCCCATGCCGTCTGTGACTATAAGGCCGGCCGACGATGCCCATCTTCCTACAGCCAACACTTGTATTTCTCGTCTTTATATTCCACTATATAGTAGTCGAACGGTGTTACGGCAGAAACTGTTACTTGCCATTAAAACAAAGAACTTTGGATTTGTCTGATTTCGTAATATAAGGGGCACTACTACTACATTTCTTATAGCTAGAAACTTGAGTTAAATAAAAAAATTGTTTCTTTAAAACGTTTATATATTTTGAATGTGATTGTATTTATAATATAAGCTAAAGTGATATAAGATTTGTATATAGTTTTGAACTAGCGGCACAATTAGCACGAAAATGATTCTGTCTTTGGAAACAGCTCAAATAATGTTTATTTTCTCTTATGGTCTTTTTTTTGTTTCTTATTGGTGCCAATACTTGTTAATAACTATGGGATCAATTCCCATTAACTCGTAGCCATGTAGTGTTGTGCTTTGTTTTATTTATAAAAAAATAGTTTACAAGCGATACTTTTAGTTAATGATGTGTTACACTGTCATGTTTCAGTTGTTGATTTATAACTATTTTTATTAATAGTGTGCGTAGTTTATTTTAAAAATGTGAAGTTCACGGTAACAATATTTCATATCTGGAAATAGCTTGTGTATCAATAAAGGTTATTATATTAATTTGTGTTTAGCTTAATATAATGACACTAATAAAATGAATCGTTCACATTAATTTTTTTTATCAGAACCTCAATTATCTACACCTTTTTTTTATGGGATGCTTCATATTCAAAATATTTTCATGTAAATTTTGTTATAAAAAGAGGTAAAATTATCATTGTAAATAGTGTATCGTAAAGGTAAGTAAATGTTACATTTTGCTAATTAAATATTTATCTTTTTTGATATCACAATTTTTAAGATAATACTCGATATAAATAAAAGATAATCCATGTACCTGTTTATACCAACTTTTCTCTGCTGACCCGTGACTAAGAATTTGTAGCTTGACACTGATATCTTAGTTTGGCTGGGTCGTTGTAGGCATTGTGGTAGTTATGAGAGTGATAAGTGAGTGAACTTATTCCAAATCTGATTTCAATGGGAAATTTTTGGTAATCATAACATTTTCTAGAATCTTAAATTGAGGTTTTCTACAAAGTTCTCGATTTGTCTAGATTCGGAAATGAGATATATCAGAATGATTTCAAATATGCTACATTGAAAGTGAAAAGAGATAATACTTTTTTGGCCACATTTCCCGGACGTAGCAACCGGTACATATCGAATACTACTCGTATATTTTTCGATGCGAAATACTTGAACTGCCCTGGTAGATGGATCATTCGTGAATTTCTACAAGCATCTAAGAGCCCAATTAGTTCTATATAAAGGTTGCCACAGAAATACAAAAACATTACACGCTAATAATTCAATAAAAGATGGTGGAAAATAAAAAAGGTATAAATGAACTACTATATCTGTGCAATGTGGAACGACGACGACGGTGTGTGTACCGTGTAACAAGTACCTGGAACTACTTAAGGAAAGTCGTCCTGTTTTATTGTGTTTTGTGTCTGTGCAAATTGAGTTCTATGGTAAGAGTACGAACTTCACTCCTTTTCGCGATTGTGATTCTGTTTTCTTGCGTTCGTTTGTTCAGTTAAATTTTGATTCGGTATTATGATAGACGTGTAGTTGGGTGTGTGGTTGTGTATGTGCAATAAACAATAATACTCGTGTTTATATTTGGAATATTAATTGTAACTATAATATGAATGTAAGTTTTTCTTTCACTTTCAACATAGATTTTTTTATGTTAGCGACCTAATAATACAGTAAAACAGAGATCAATGACCATTGGGTGGGTTGTCGGCACAGATTTGAGTGCAGCTAAGACATACGTTAGCTCTATTTTTCCCTTCAGTTGTATGGCTAATATTCCTATTGGGTCAGAGCAGATTGTCGCAGATAACTGAATTTTATTCTTGTGGGTTTACTTTTTTGGTTTGATTAAGGTGCAAGTTGATGTTATACCTCATTATAATTAAGAATAATTTTAAAACGCTTCGTTATTAAACCTACGCGTTAATTATTTCATTGCGTTACACCTGCCTAGTCGAGCCGGCTTTTACCTAATTGTTTTGGCATTGCTGTAAATACGTTGAATTAAAATGTCTATTGACTTTTTAAGATTTCTAATTCAACATACAATAAGTATACACATATTTTGAATTTTGAAACAAATTATATTTTTTTTGCAAATAGAAATGTCTTTTCCTAACATGATTTTCATGATGCTGTTCCCTTACAAAATGTGTACCTAAATCAAATACCTAAGTAGGTACTATGTCCACCTTCAACTTACAAGTGTAATTCTTTATACGCTGTGGAATATTTTATGTGAGTGGGTCGTAGACCATTTTACAAATGGTCACCCACTCACCTACTTTATGCAAATTTTAAGTTGATTAACAATACCTAGGTAACTATTGTTACACTTGTTCTTAATTCTTAACAAACCTTGGATATATTTATTTCCACATAACTTATTTATTACATTAGGTACGAAGATTTAAAATTATAAATGTACTTATTCTATAGCATCAAAATAAAATTCAATTAAATGTAGGTAGATATTTGATACATACCGAGTATCATGAAGCAACTGGATTTAATGCTCAAAGATATCATTTACTCGCATTTACTCGTTAACCCCTTCCGGCAAATTTTCTGCACGCCCATGGCGATTTCATAAATGAAAATAATTAAATCGAGTTGATGGATGACTTTTATTGACTTTTTGATTAATTCAATCCTTTTATGTATTTCAAGTATTAATAAATATGTAAAGTTTATATTAAGGAAATCAAATTTTGTATACTGCAGCTGCGGACGGTTTTACTTTCATGTTAGGTACTGAAATATGAATTCGTTAGTTAAATATATCGTATGTTACCCTTTGTTTAGGGTGACAACATCGTGTGTAACCGTCCTGCCTTCAACGGAAGCAGTCCAGATTTAGATTTACCGATGTTCATGTACCGGCGTAAAAAACACAAAGAACGGAACTCATCAAAGCATAAAGTGTAAAAGTATAAATTTAAACGCACCGTGTTGTAAAAAACTCATTTTGTGAAACAGTTCAGTGCATCTCCTGCTTGTTATGGGCTATCTAATGACATTGCATTCTTGTATCATTCCCGAATTCCGAAGGTGATTTTCGAAATGGACAAACAAATCCAAACAAATGACTTGGAAATTGAAGATGAGTTAGTTAAAAACATGTAGATGTAGAAAACATTAAATACATACTTGCCAAATACGATACTAACAATAAGTTATGAGCAGTAATTAAAAAGCAACTGTTATCATCACAATATAAAAAATACATTTTATATCAAAGAAATTTTATTACATTTCCAAACATGATAGAAAAAAATTTTACGATGAGCAGGTCTACCTAGTATTAAATTGAAAATTTTAGTTTATATCTTATTTTATACTATTTCATGTCCGGTTTTGCTAAAATTCAAGTACTTATATAATATTTTCAATAATTTTAATATATTTTTTTTTATTAAAAGAATTATTAAACGATTATTATCTCACGGTCTTTTTATGATTTTAAGGATCATTGTTGGGTTCATAATATGAATTATTGATTATTTGATGTGCAAATTGTAAATTACACGTGTAAAGTAATTACATTGAATGAAATTTACTAAAATTATTTAGTTAATTAATATAAAAACAAGTATGAAAAAAGTGAGCTCTCGAGTTTGCCATTATTAGTGGATTGTAAAATATGACCCTGCGTTAATCCAAATGGTGTTTCCCCTACCGCAAAAAATCTGATAATGCGATTAAGGGATGTTATCTGTGGTGTTAAATTGTCGACTGACCTGAAATCCGACTAGACAACCCTTGTTACGTGGGAGATCTACCAGCGCGATTGCCTAATAACTCTTCAAATCCTTTTAAAATGTTTTAAATTTCCACACCTAATTCATGGAGTAGTTCATTTTATAAAATTATATAACATGGGTAACGATCCCAAAATCTCATAGATTTTTTAGTAGTGAAAGAAGTGATAATTATTTTTTCTTTATTCTACTGCTATCTGTAATCAAAATTCCGAGCAAAATTCTTTCCGCCTATGCAGGAAAATTTGCATTTCTTTCTTCATCCTGTGGCTGAACATCTGATTGGCGGAACTGCTGCGCTGCTATAAGTGACTATCACTTTAAATTTTAAACCAACAATTTCCCTTTGTTCAAATAACAAAACTAAACAGTAGGTACGTATGCTATTCATCGGGTAGTGTGTTTGGGCAACTGTATCACTGTTTAATTTATACATATATTATTTACTATGAAGCATCACAAAATCGAAATAAACTTAAAAAATAAATTTGGTCTCGAATTTGGTGTATACTTGTAAACTACTTATTAGCCGATTTGTTATCAATTTGTTGGATGTGCCCTCGGATATTTCTCATTCAGTCTAGTATTGGATGTCTACCTACAATTTTGTGATATTTAATTATCAGTGTTTCAATGGTTTTAATATTCTCAAAAATTTCACACAAAAACATAGTTTTTGGTATTTATCGAGTGTAACTTTGATTTGACTGGTAAATTTAATTTAAAAAAACTTCAACTATTAGGTATACTGCTAATTATACGACTGTTACTTAAATACTAACTAAAGTTTTGAATTTTTTTCTGAATAAGTACATTTGACAAATTCTGAATAATTTATGCTTTCCGAAATACATATGCCCTCGCATGTGCCTAATCCAAAATTTAAGTTACACAGTCTGAAATGAAATTAATTAACCTGAAGTACAACCGACAGATTCTGAAATACTCGTACATATAGAAAAAGTATATTTTTAGATCGTGAAACAGTGACGGTTAGCGAAAATTAAAGTGGTCATATCTGCATAATGAGGCATGGGAGCCATACCGATTTTATCTGCCAGTCTCGCTGCTATGATTATGAAAAACCTTTTCGAGATCTCAGGGTCGGCCACCTCAATTTAAATTTTTTAATTTCACAAATTTCATCAAAAATAGTTCTATCATCTATGATCTTTATGTGGACTTAGAAATCATCCCCTAAAACATGGTACGGGTCCTATGCTTCATTGTCAGAATATGTTATAATTTGTACTCTCCTGTACAATAAAAGAAATAAAAACCCATTTTAATACAAAAAATCTACTTTATATGCGTTTGCCTCATACATATATATTTTAATATTCTGAAAATAACGCAGAAAATTTCAAGGCACGCCCTTGCCGACGTAAATTCTTCCAGTAGTTCCGCTAACAGAACTTTATTGGCTTATTCTTTTCTTCAAATTCTATCTCGACAAATATTGTACGGACTGTAATTTGTTTTATTGTAATCAAAAATTCTTTAGATGAAGGAGCTGGAAATTTTTCTTATTTTTTTTTTGTAAATTTTTAGACGTGTTATGTAGAAACATTAGAAGTATTTGTATTTGCCTGTGAACTGTAGGTTTGGGTCATTTTGAACTTAAAACCGTGGGTCTGACCTGTTGCCTGACTTTCAATTTTTTACTTTCACTTAATAATTTATTATAACACGGACAACGCTAGGCATGCATAGATACATTACACACACTTTAATGTAATGTATATTCCATCAGTACGTGTCTGAATATTTACAATTGCTTTTTCAAGGTCGACGAAGTTATTTTAGCGATAGTCGACAATAAAATTGCGATCAAACGTAAATATTTATTCTCGGAATGTAAGAAGACCAGTTGTTAAATAAAAATGTCCTTTTGTTGAGCATGACTTGTAGGTAAACATTTTGCCCCGTACCTTGATAGAGGGATCAGTTGAACAGGAGGTGGTATCTGTGAATGAATTGAAAGGTGTGTTGCTGGGAGTGTTTATTTGTTATATAATCATATCCGAGTTCCAAGTAAGTCGTATTCTTAAATACCATTAAATTAGTTATTTTTCGTATTGTTGGCAGCAGTGATGTGTTTCATTGAACTGTAGAATCCGAGGTAGAATCCTAGGAACTTGGTCTAGAATTATATCACTGAAATTATTTTTTCCATGTCATTAATAAACGAATTTGTTATGTTATATAACATTTGCGTGATGCAATCATTACTTATAAATGTATAGTCTCTTTTTGGATAATCTCAAGAAGCTAAACAAGTCTCAATGTTTTTGTTAAATGACATCCCATAAGTTTTTTCGATATAGGAACGAGAAATATTTGAATTATTTTAAATTGTTAAGCTTCTTATGCTTTTCAGATAAAAATATTTACTGAAAATTTACGAGACATCAGAAATTTGACAAAATTTGAAGTAACTTACATTTAAATCCTAACAATAAATAATTCGAGTCGTATGATTAATATATTGAAATTTTTAATATCTGTTTCCAATACATCTGCGAATATTCAAAAATATCTTTAGTAAACATCTATATTTTCATTTTCGCGCAGAGCTCTCAGCAATCTTTAATACTCACATCAAGGGCCTGCTAGTCATAGTCTGAGCTTGGAAATTCTTCGAATGCAGAGGCAGCGTTTAAATTATTCAATAGGCTGCATTTCTAGATCGAAGGTAAGAATTAATGCATGTTTCAATCCTCCGTTGTTAACCTTCCGAGTCTAGACGGGGAAATAGATGAATATTTTAAGTCACCCGTTGTTCACAAATTCCTACAGTACGAATTCTTCATCTATATTTTAATGATAGAGAGGATTTTTACGTTGTGTTTAC